TGAAAGGCATGAGTTGCAGATGCGAGTCCTCTACACTCCGCAGTGCTTCAGTATCTCCAACAAGGTCATTCTATTATCTAGTGACCATAAAATTATCAAATTGAGGAAATTAACATAAATGTCGTACTATTACCTAATACACAAAACTTATACAAATTCCATCAATTGCCCAGATATGTCCAAGAAACAAAATTTGAGTTCGGTGTGCAGTGCCCTGTCTCTTTAGCTCTTTTTTCATTGGAGCAGCCTTTCAGCCTTTTTCTTCTACACCCTCAATGCTTTTTAAAGTGCATATGCCATTTCCACGGTAAATGGCCGTAACTTGTGTTTGCTAGATATTTCCTCACAATTTAGATTCAGGTTATGCATTTGGGGCAGGAATACTACAGAAATGATGTTGTGTCCTTCTCAGAGAATTACAGCAACAGTTCCCTGATATTTGTTTGTACCAGTAGTGGCAATATTAGTTTTGATTGCTTAATTAAGGTGGTAAATGCCAGATTTCTCTTTTTCCAACTGTAATTAATAAGTATCTTGTGGGCAGATGTTTTGAAACTAATAAAATATCCTCTCATAAAGCTGTCACTCAAAAAAGAAAAAAACCAAAAAACTGTCACTCACCCAGTTTTAGCATTCATTAATGATTCTTGCCTAAAACAAGTGTTACTGTGCTGGCTACCAAATGGTCATTTCCTTTCGTATTTATTGATATTCAACTGTTTAAAAGAGTTTTCCCCTCTTCCCTAGTTGTTTATACATTTATATATCTATATATCATTATGGATATATGGATTGTTATTTTATTCTTTGGGTTGTAACCTGTTATCATTATTTATTTGGTCCCAGTTTTGACCAGTGTGTTATAGCTGCTTGCAGTGTCCTTCAGGGCTTGTTCTGTGGCCTAGCATGTGCTCTGTGCGGCATAAAGTTCCATGTGTGCTTGGGGAGTCTGTTGCAGTGGATTAGAGCGCTCCACATGTCTGCTAGGTCCAGCTGGTTTAGAGTGTTGTTCAAATTGCCTGTTTCCTTGCTGAATGCCATGGGTTGAATTGTTTCCCCTTGAAAAGAGATGTTGGAATCCTAACCCCCCACCTCAGAATCTGACCTTATTTAGAGACAGGGTCTTTACAGAGATAACTATGTTCAAATGAGGTCTTTAGGGTGGGCCCTGAACCAATATGACTGGTATCCTTATAAAAAGGAGAAATTTGCACACAAAATAGACACATATAAGGAGAAAAATGATGTGAAGAGACAACGGGAAAAGACAGAGACCTGGAAGTTGAAGAGAGAAGCCTGGAACACATTCTCCCCTCACAGCCCTCAGGAGGAATCAACCCTGCTGGCACCTTGACTTCAGATTGTAGCCTCCAGAACTATGAAAAATATAAAAAATAAATTTCTGTTAATTAAACCACTCATTTTGTAGTACTCTGTTATAGCAAACAAATGAAGATTTTGGCTGGAAGACAGGGTGCTGCTTTAGCAAATACCTAAAAATGTGGAAGTTGCTTTGGAATTGGTAGAGGATGGAAGAGTTTTGAGGTACTTGATAGAAAAAGCCCAGATTGCCTTGAGGACACTGTTGGTAGAAATACGAATGTTAAGGTAGTACTAGTGAGGTGTCAGACAAAAATGAGGGACGTGTTATTGGAAATCAGAGAAAAACGGCAGAGAACTTGGCTGACTTGTGTTCTAGTGTTTAATGGAAGGCAGAACTTTTTGAGTGATGAACTTGGATATTTAGCTGAAGAGATTGCTAAGCAAAGTGTTCAAGGCATGACAACTTCTGAGAATGTATTGTTAAACATAAAGGAACTAGATCATGAAGATCTGGAAGACTCTCAGCTTACTCATATCACAAAAAACGAGAAAGCAAGCTCAGGAGAGAACACCAAGCATGTGGCCAGACGCTGCTTGCTCAAGAGATTATGGGTGTATGGCTTGTGAATCCAATTAATCATCTCAGCAGAAATGCTATCAACTTGGACTGAAGGGAACAGAGCAAGGTTGAAATGAAGGAATTTTGTCAAACTTCTGAGATTCTACAGGAAGGAAACAAGCTGGAAACAGGCTGATAGAGCTATCTAGCTGTGAACATAGGTTATCCTTAAAGCAAAGGGTAGAATGACCCTGAGGGCGGGGCCACTTCCTCGGTTCCAGAAGGTGAAGCCTCCTTTTCAATTCCAGAGGGCTGGGCCACCATCCAGGGCTGAAGGGGCAGGGCCACCACCCCAGTGGGCTCAGAGGACAGAGCATTTAGCCAGAGGGTTATTCTCAAGCCTTAACATCTAATGGAATTTACCCTGCTAGTTTTTGGACTTGGTTGGGACTCATAACACCCTTTTTCCTGATGATTTCTTCCTTTTGGAATGGGAATGTCTATCCCATGCCTATCTGATTATTGTATTTTGGAAGCAGATAACTTATCTGGTGTCACAGATTCACAGATGAAGAGGAATATTGCCCCAGGATGAATCATATCCCAAGTCTCACCCATACCTGATTTGGATGTGATTATGGACTTAGAGTTGATGCTGGAGTGGATTAAGATTTGGGGGGATGTTGGGCAGGGGTGAATGTATTTTGCATGTGAAAAGCATATGAATTTGGTGGGGTGGGGAGGGGCAGGAGGGCAGACTGTTATGGGTTGAACTGCATCCTGTCAAAAAAGAAGCTGGATTCCTAACCCCCAGAACCTCAGAATGTGAAGTTAATTAGAGACAGGGTCTTTACAGAGATAATCAAGTTTAAATTAGATCACAGGGTGAGACCTAAGCCAATATGACTGGTATCCTTACAAGAACAGGAAAGTTGGACACAGAGATGGTAACAGCAAGGCATGGGGTACTGCAAGAATAAGCTGCCTCCTACAAGGTATGGTTCACTTTTTCACAGAAGGGAAGGGCCTCTACATCAGGAGTTAGTGGGTTCTGTGGGTAATACCGTGTCTGCCTCAACCATTCAACTCTGCCACTGCAGTGCAAAAGCAGCCAGACAGCAACACACAGCCAGATTGTGTCTGACTGTGGTCCAAGGAAACTTGATGGGTGGACACTGATATTTGAAATTCAAATAATTTTCTCATTTCATAAAAGTTTGGATCTTTTTAACCATTTAAACATGTAAAAGCTTCTTAGCTTGCCATCCATACAAATATGGGCTGCAATCTGTATTTGGCCTGCAGTCTGTAGTTTGTCAACATCTAGGCCATATCCCCGATTGAAGAGCATACAGTGCAAAGTATATCACAAGTTTGCTAGGCTGAGTCCTCGGATACTTCTCAGATATTGCTACTCCAATTATCAATTATCAAGAGACAACTTTTCTAATGCACGTTTACATAAGGGATTAGTGCACACTTAAGATAGATGACTCTAATTCAGCAAGCCAACTGTGTATTTGGTTTCCACCATCTCAACCCTACAGCTCTGAGTAAGCAATTATTTCAGCAATGTCAGAGCATGGCTGAGTTCAGTACTCTGCCTTGAGATGAGATTCCAGGCCTTCAAGTCTGTCCTTGTTGTGTTTAAGAGCTGATGTAACCAGAATGAGCCATCTCATCCCCTGCCCCAGATTTCCTCATTAATTTAAAACTCTTCTAGGACAATAGTTCCTCAGTATTCCCAGAATCTTACCAACAGGGGCCACAAGGTTCTTGGTGTACACAAGCAATAACACTATTTCATACTATGTACTAAAAAGTATCCACCTTGGAATATAAACAGGAATCTGAAAGATTTTCTTCTTGTCTCAGGAAAAAACCTAAACCACACACCCAGCTGTTCTTCAACAGTTTACTATCTACAGCTACTCCAGAACAACGACTTACCAGTTAAAGTCCTTCAGTGACAAGAAGTAGGAACTCATTCTGCTTAACTTCAGCAGAAAACAATATTTATTAAAAAGATGAGGAAGCACACAGAAGACCAGAAAACCAGGTTCAAAAGGGGAAGTATCCAAAGTCATTCTGAGAAATCAAAGCAGCAAGAACTAACTGATGGTCTCAGTAGAATTCTGGGACAAGAATGGGTTCCAATATTTCCCTACTGGTTTATGGGAGACTGAAATTCAGATGCAAACTCCTGGAAAAGAGGCTCCCATTTCCCAACAATGGCAGAGTGCTCACCTGTGACTGGTGGAAAGGACACCCTGAAAGACCCACCACAAGGGTGCACACACACAGGAGGGGTATTTCTCCAAAGAGATCTAAGCCGCTCTTATTGATCAGTGCGGAACAGACACTGAACTGGTAAATATAATCAATGTTCATTATGGTGAGTGCTCTTAGGAAGCACCCCTGTTAACAACTGCCAGACCCATTTGCTGGATAAGTAAATTCATTTGGAATGAGAACTGAATCCTTTCATTTATTAAAAACTACATTACTTTAGTTATATTGCTAAGAAATAAAGAGACAACACTGATCCTTAGCATTTAATGTGGAGAATATTAGAGGGTGTTATTCCACAAACTATCAAATATAACAAGTTACATTTTAAAATAAAATACCAAAAATTTTTAAAACGCTATCAGTGTTACTCAGGAAAGTCACACTCCATACCCCTTAACCTTCAGAGTATGTTCCTTGCCATTTTCCTGCTATTACTCTAGTTACATACTAAAATAAAAAACAACTTTACTCTCCACCAAGACTTTCTTCAGCACCACATCTGGAATGCAACTCCCCATGTAACACAGCTTCCACGGGAAGTGCTTTCCTGATTTATTAAAGTTACAAGGGTTTCTCAATATGAATTCCCCATGTTAAATCTTCATAATCAGGCTACCACTTCTGACACAGTTACTGCTCCATACTCCTGCAACTATTCTCTTGTATATAAAGATCTGTATGACTTACTTCTGAAAGCTTTTGCACATTCATTCCAAATATGATTGGCCTCTCTCTCATATGACTGATTTGATAAGAGAGTATTTTTAGGACTTCCTGCCTCTATTATCCTCTGAAGTCTCCTGTGGATCAGCTTCTGTGAGAATGCTTCTAACATCTACTCCGTTCTGATTTCTCACTTGTGAGTTTTTCGATGTATACGAAGCCCTGAATTCCAGCAGAAGGATTTCCCACATTCAGAGCATTTCCATGGCTTCTCTCCTGTATGAACTCTCTGATGTTCACTGAGAGACGACTTCTGAGTGAAGGCTTTCCCGCATTCACTGCATTTGTGGGGTTTTTCCCCTGAATGAGTCTTCTGGTGTATCTGAAGTGACGCCTTCCTAGGATAGGCTTTCTCACATTCGCTGCATTCATAGGGCTTCTCTGTTGAATGAGTTCTCTGATGTATAATTAGCTGTGATTTCCCACAAAACGCTCTCTCACAGAAGCTACACTCATAGGGTCTCTCTCCTGTGTGTGCTCTCCGGTGTATAACGAGGTATGACTTGCTGCTGAAGGCTTTCCCACACTCACTGCACCCATAGGGCTTCTCTCCTGCGTGAGCTCTCAGATGCGCGGTGAGCTGTTCCTTCCTACCGAAGGCCTTCCCACATTCACTGCACTGATAAGGATTATTTCCTGTGTGAATTCCCTGGTGCACAACGAGTTGTGTCTTCATGCTGAAGGCCTTCCCGCAATCCCTGCACTGATAGGGCTTCTCTCCCGTGTGCATCCTAATGTGAACGAGGAGATACGACTTACTCCTGAAGGCTTTCCCACAGTCACTGCATTTATGGGGTTTCACTCCTGTGTGAGTTCTCTGGTGCACAATGAATGGCGACTTCAGACTAAAGGCTTTCCCACATTCACTGCATTCATAGGGTTTCACTCCTGTATGGCTTCTCTGGTGTAAAATAAGCTGTGATTTCCAGCTGTAGGCTTTCCCACATTCACTGCAACCATAAGGTTTCCCTCCTGAGTGAATTTCCTGATGGACAATGAGCTGTGACCTGAATGAGAAGACTTTCCCACACTCGATACAGGAGTAGGGCTTCTCTCCTGTGTGGACTCTCTGATGAGCATTGAGGTTTGACTTGGCACTGAAGGCTCTCTCACATTTAGTGCATTCGTATGGTCTCTCTCCTGTATGAATTCTGAGATGTACAATGAGCTGTGATTTACAACGAAAAGCTTTCCCACATTCGTTACATACACAGTTTTTTTCTATACGAGTTCTTTGATGTTTAAGAAAATATGATTCATCACACCCATGAAACTGATCAGGATTCTGTCTTAGATAGCTTCTGGCTGAAGCTAAGTTTTGTGTCAAGCTTTTTCCATGTGTATTATATTTAAGGAGCCTTTGTCTTGAAGAAATGTGGCTTTTGCTCAGATGAAGCTTTCCAAATGCATTACAAGCATAGCTTCTCTCAACACTTTCAAGTTCATCTTGATTTTTCTGGTACCATTCTTTCCAACCTTCTAGAAAAAAAAAAACACCACCATATATTTAAAATCATAACACAAACCTAATATAGAACTAAAGGGCTTTAGAACTGCCATGTAATGAGTGTTTTTCTTTTGGTCCAGGCCTCTGACACACTGGTTCAAAAGAAATACTGGCCAAGTGCACACACATCACATAACCAACCATGGGGGCAAGAGGAAGTGAATCAAACCAAAATAAGTCCCTTTACAGAAATGGGTAGCCGATTAGCAGTGATCAAAAATGTTTTTTTAAAAATAGGTTTAGGCCACAACAGTGAGAGGCCCGCATACCGCAAAAAAAAAAAAAAAAAAAAAAAAAAATAGGTTTAAAAAATTTAGCCTTCACTTAGAAGCCAATGCCAACTATTTATGCCAATTTTATTATTGCAGGAGTTTACTCATAAAGTTAATTCACAGGATACAGAATAGCTAGGTATGACATGTAGGTAGGTACAATGAGACATTAAAAGAGAGACTGAGCGAGCCATAAGGAAAGTAAGGCAAAAGCATTCCAAACAGAAGGAAGAGCAAGTGCAAAGCTCCTGGGGAAGGAACCTGCGTGGCATGGTTAAGGAACAGAATAAAGGCCAGGACAGCTGAGACCCCCTGAGTGAATAGAGTGAAGGCAGGAACCAGATTAGGCAAGGCCCCAGGAAAGAGTTTTCACCCAAAGGACTTTAATTAGAGGGGAGCTCGATTTATCTTGTGCTTTTAAAAGATCAGTGGCCATTACATAAAAACGAATAGGAAAAGGGCAGAGAGACTAATGAAGAGCCACTGCAGCAGTCCAGGATGACAGGATGGGACTGGCTGTCCTTCTGGAGCTGAGCAACGTGGACATACTTGGAGAGAGAACTAAGAAAGGTACTAATGGACTGGATGTGAGAACCCAGAGGAGGGGAGGACTTAGTAACTCCTAGATTTGAGACTTGAGAAGCAGGTGGTGCTGCTCTTTGAAACTGAAAACACTGAGAGAGAGACATGTTTGGAGGAAAAACAAAGGACTCTGTTTTGGATCTTATTACATTTGAGATCATAGTTAAGTATCCAAATGGAAAAGCAGGTAGGCAGTTAGACCTCAGTTCAGTGCTCAGTAAAAAGTAGGCATCAACAGCACATACAAGGTATTAAATTGACGTTAGGGATAACGTCTTCTAGGGAACACATGTTAATTAAAAGGGATGCCAAAACAGCCCTGGAGCAGACGACATTTAAGGTTGGAGAGGATTTGCAGAGAGAATGGGAAAGTCCATCTGTGAGGCCCTAACAGTGTGAAGATGACAGTGATAGCAAGACAAGGGTTAAAGGAAAGGAACAGCAGCACGGTGCGGTCTGGACAGCAGCCATCCAGACAAAAGCATTCCAAACAGAATGAACAGCAAGTACAAAGCTCCTGAGGAGGGAACCTGCATGGCATGGTTAAGAAACAGAACAAAGGCCAGGACAGCTGAGACCCCCTGAGTGAACAGAGTGAAGGCAGGAACCAGATTAGGCAAGGCCCCGTACACACTGTCTGTGTGTCAGCACCCGTCAGACACATAGCCTCCGTCACCCCCGTACACGACTGCGGCACTGGGGGGCTCAGTAGCTGTCCTGCTTTCTCAGGACTGCTTGCTAAACACTTTTCTCCCCAAAGTGGTGGGAAACCGGAGGAAGAAGAGCAATTTTAGAAGTGCCTTCCCATTTCTGCCACTGAGAATGCAGAGTGGGAAAGCCCAGGGGCACTCTCCTGCAAGCGTATAAACCTGGGACCAGAGCGCACGAGGAAAGGAGAAGGAGGATGGCAATTCTGCTGTTACAACACTGGGAGGAAAAAAGCTTTGAGTTTCAGGACAGAAGAGCCTTTCCACAGTTACAATACAGAAGAGAAGCCCAAACTTGGACAACTCAAAAGGGAAGAGTAAGCGGGGTCAGGGAAATAAAAGCAGGGTGATAAAAACCACCTAAGATACAGGTGAGACTAGGCTAGGTTTCAGAATTCTTTTAAGAAAAGAGCCCAAGCGACTTCCCTGGCAGTCCAGTGGTTAAGAATCTGCACGTACACTGCAGGGAGCATGGGTTCCATCTCTGGTCGGGGAACTAAGATCCCACGTGCTGCGCAGTGTGGCCAAAAAAAGAAAAAGAAAAGTGCCCAAGAAAGTAACAGTTGTAATTTCCAAGTGACTGGTGTGAGAAGAGAGAAGGAAGCAATGAAATCTCCTAAGACAGTCAAGGGGAGAGAATGAAATGAAAAACTATGGGTAAAGTCAAGGGACTTAACTGCAGAGGCAAGAGAGAAAACAAGGCCCATGACTACGGGAAGGAAGGCAGAGAAAAAAGGTGACAGAAGGAAGGAAACAAACCCAGAAAGCAACCTCTCAGAGCCACGGGAGGAAACCGAGGGCCCCGTCCTTACCTGAGGACTCGCGGGCTCATCCCGAGTCCACCCGGTGGTTCAAGGACTTCAAAGAACAGTTCGCGCACACAACACTCCCTGAGTGCCAGCCCCGGTTCACTCCAGACCTCCCCTCTCCATGGTTTCTGCTCACCCACCTGGACAGCTCTGACGGGAAACTTCCGCGTTTATTATCCATGGCTCTTCTCCTTGCTCCAACTTGAAGACTAAATCAGGTTTGGTACCATGATACCCTGTTAAGGGAAAATCACAAAGGGTGTGGGCCAAACTGCTGGGGACTAGAAAAGGAAGCTAGGAGCTCGGAAAGGAAGCAGCTCGTTTGCACTTGCGGAAAGATTACAATGAGGGGGTGAAGACAGAATAGGGACTAAGAATGTATGACCTCCAGAGCTCAAGTCCATAATCATTAATTACTTCAGAGGCCCCGGGATAGAACAACAAAAGAAAAAGCGGTGGCAACTTACGACTCACGACCTGAGCAGAAAAGAGAAGCTGTACTTACCCACAGACACCAGGTTACTATAGTTTTCCAGAGTCACATCCCGGTACAGGTGCTTCTGTGCAGAATCCAGTAACTGCCATTCTTCCCAGGTGAACTCCATAGATATATCCTTGAATGACGATAATCCCTGTAACAATACACACACCATTCCACAGGCTGCCATTACCCGGGAGACATGGAAAAGATGTAGAGGACCCAGGAAAGGAGAATGTCCCTCCACAGACTGCATCCTGAGCCCAGGCCACCACTTGCTTTGAGAGAGAATTAAAAAATAATAATAATAAGTGAGCCTCCGTGTGCTAGATACTCTTTTGGGTCCTGAAGACTTCAGGATGAGTAAAGCCCACTCTGGCCTTCAGAAGCTTTTAGTCTTGTAGAGGGAAATGAACAGCTATGCATGCAGACAAAATAAGGTGTTTCCAGTCTGATAAGAACCTATTCAGGGAGACCTTGCACGGGGTGGTGAGCACGACTCTAACTATGGGCACCAGACACACAAGGTCTGACCTTCCGGAAGTGCCTGCCCTCTGGCCAGCTGCTCAGCCCACCTGAGTCTCAGTGGGAGCGAGCACATGAAGAAAACATGCCAGGGACTTCCCTGGTGGCGCAGTGGTTAAGAATCTGCCTGCCAATGCAGGGGACACAGGTTCAAGCTCTGGTTCTGGAAGATCCCACATGCTGCGGAGCAGCTAAGCCCGTGCGCCACAACAACCAAACCTGCACTCTAGAGCCCACAACTACTGAGCCCGCATGCCGCAACTACTGAAGCCCGTGCACTCTAGGGCCCGCATGCTGCAACTACTAAGCCCACATGCCACAACTACTGAAGCCGCGCTCCTAGAGCCCGTGCTCTGCAACGAGAGAAGCCACCACAATGAAAACACCGCAACGAAGACCCAATGCAGTCAAAAATAAGTAAAATTTTTTTAAAAAGAAAACGTGCCAAATAGGTGACTTCCCAGGCTTCTTCCAAGAAAATAAGGGGTCCACGACCGAGTCAACCAGGGGATACCCAGCACAGACTGTGAACCTAAAGCTCAGGTCGCAGAGCCACAGGCCACAAGCCAGTGCGTGGGCGTCTGCTCCCCAAGGTGTGCGGGTCCTACCAGGCGGCCCTGCGGCAGTGTCAGCCGTGTGGCCTGCATGCCTGGTGCTTGATGCCTCTGAGAACTACCCAGTGTGCTCACAATAAATTCCTCTCACAGGACCAAAAGATAGCAGCAAGCCACAGACCCTCAGGGGGTCATTCAATAAGCACTTATTAGGCACCAACCACGGACACAGTCCCTGTCCTTAGTGGGTTCCCATTCCTGCAGGGGAGATGCCAGTAAACACAAAGCCACCTAGCACGAAGGCGGTGACAGTGCTCTGACAGGCCTCCAGCAGCTTCATGGGAGAGAGGCGAGGAGGAAGACACAGGCGCTATCTCAGATGGGTGATCAGGAGCCCCCTGCTGAGGCGACATTTGGGCAGAAGCACAAGCAGTGGGAGAACGAGCTCTGAGATTTCTTTGGGAAGAGCCTTCCACGCAGCATGAAAACAAAGGCACAGGCCTGCAGGGCTCGAGGACGTGGTAAGGACTTGGATTTCATTCCACAGGAGAAGAAGCCCCTGGAAGGCCTTGGACAGGGTGGTGCGCTCTGACCCCCATCTGAGATCATTCTGACTGCCACGGAGAGGGGAGGGGTCCTAGTTCCAGTGAAAGACGAAGGTCCCTGGGGCTGGAGTAAGAGCACTGGGGTAAGGAGCCGTGGTTGGGTCCCAGGCATCCAGTGAAGCCAGAGGCAGAGACGCCCCGGTGGAGACGACAGCGCAGAGAAGGACGTCGAGGAGAAGGCAAGGATCCTGGCCGAGCAAATGGAAGACACTGCCCTCTACAGGTTGGGAAGCCTGCAGGACGAGAAAGGGAGGGATGGGGGCTGAAGACAAGGAAGCAGCAGCTAGAGGAGCCCCGACTGACGCCCTAACAGGCTCCTCCCCAAGGGCGCTGTCTGCAGCGAGGGGGACCCCAGGGAAGACACAGTGAGTGCAACTCTGGGGGAGCCTCAGAGGCCAGTGGAAATACAGGGTGGAGCCCTGTCACAGGCTCCAAGCGATCCCCATCGTGCTGGGGACTGACCGCCAGATGACAGGAGCTTCCCATCCCAACCCATGAGGAGCTCCCACAGGAATGAAAAGTGAAGTGGGAATAAAGAGAAGAGCCTCCCATCTCCCACAGTCTGAGTCGGGGAAGAAGAGGGGTTGGAGTGTAGCTTGAACTTTCCAATGCCTGGAAGTTAACTGACATCCAAATACTTGGCTCTTGCCAAGATGACTGCCAGGGCTGGGGAGGGACAGCTGACAGGGCACGTCTGAGGTCGTGATGGAGAAAAATGAAGCAGTGACATCAAGCCCAGGGCATTCATGCAGGGGGGAGGAGAAACAGGAAGCAAGGCCTGAGGCAGATGCCACAAGAGCAAACGCAGACCAAAGGGACAGGATGGAAGAAAACAGGGGTAGAGCAGAGAGTGTATTTTATTTTAAGCCTTTTGCTATTTTTATGCTTGATAAGAATAAAAACAAAATACAAAGGAAATACTACAAAAAAATTTAATTGGGCAAGCATAATCAAGAAATGAGGAGACTTCCCTGGTGGTCCAGTGGTAAAGAATCCGCCTTCCAATACAGGGGAAGCGGGTTCGATCCCTGATCGGGGAACTAAGATCCCACATATTGTGGGGCAATTAAGCCCGAGCTCCGCAACTACAGAGCCCGCGTGTCCTGGAGCCCTCGCACCACAACTAGAGAGAAGCCCGGGGGCTTCCCTGCTGGCACAGTGGTTAAGAATCCGCCTGCCAATGCAGGGGACATGGGTTCGAGCCCTGGTCGGGAAAGATCCCACATGCCACGGAGCAACTAAGCCCGTGTGCCACACCTGCTGAGCCTGCGCTCTAGAGCCCGTGAGCCACAACTACTGAGCCCGTGTGCCACAAGTACTGAAGCCCGTGTGCCTAGAGCCTGTGCTCTGCAACAAGAAGTCACCGCAATGAGAAGCCCACGCACTGCAACAAAGAGTAGTCCCTGCTCCCCGCAACTAGAGAAAAGCCCTTGTGCAGCAATGAAGACCCAACGCAGCCAAAAATGAATAAATAAATAAAATTTTTTTAAAAAGAGAGAGAGAGAAGCCCACGTGCCACAAGGAAGAGCCCGCCCCACAATGAAAGATGCCGCAGTTAAGACCCGAAGCAGCCAAAAAAATAAAGAAAATAAAGAAATTTTAAAAAAAGAAAAGAAGAAATGACCAAGACAGGGTGCATAACTCTAAGATAGAAAAAGGATTTTAAAATTCATAAACGATCACTATACACAAGCAGTTCTGCTATAATGTGATGTTACCAAAAAAAAAAAAAATCACCACTATACAAAGTCTCCGGCTTATGGGAAGAGCAGGGTTGGAGTGTGACACCTTTGTAGCACACATGAAAAAAGAAAATCAGGAACCTTAATAAAAACAGTAGCAGTTTTATACTTGTTTGATTTGAGAAATACTACCATAAATATGGCACTGTACCTTGAAAAACGCCTGACGTTTGGGTGTCAGAAGGGCCATAGGTTAGTATAAAGTGGTGAAAAGAGGCTTGCCTGAAATCAGTCAGAAAGCTCACATTGCTCCCTAAGATATCAATCATGTTGAAACAAATGTACATCCTTAAAGCAAACATGATAGCAGAACTGACTGTATATACAAACTTCTTCCAATAAATTTGAAAACTTAGAAGAAATGGAAAATTTCCTAGGAAAATAAAAGTAACCAAAATTTTCCCAGAAAGAATTAGGAAGACTGACTAGCCCATGGTCATAAAATAAACTGAAACAGTAATCAAAGGTATACCCTCTCCATAAAGACAACAGTCCCACGCTATCTTGAAAAGTAAGTTCTATCAGCATCCAAGGAACAGAAAATTTCTCCCATATCTAATCTGATGTAGAGCCAGGAAATGATGGGAAACCCATCACACAAAACCTGTATAACCCTACAGAGCAGGCAAGGACAACACAAACTGTAGTCCAATCTCATTTATTAAAAATACCTAGATAAAGACACTAATAGAGTAAAACAAATCCTGTACATATATACATAGCAAACTATGAATGAAGTTTATCCAGAAACTTAAAGGACAGTCCAAACTTTAAAAAAACAAAACACAACCGTATCAAAGAAATAAGTAACATTAGTACACTAATGGAGAACAAACAATCATCTCAATAGATGAAATAAAGTACTATGAGGAAATTTAACGCTGTTAAAAATCGGAATTCAGTTTGTTACAGGTAAAAGTAATTTCCCTAAGCCTATAAAAAAAATCATACTTTGTGTGAAACTAAAATCAGGAACAAGACACGGACGCTCACATCAACTCTGCCAGTCAGCACTGTCCCAGAGGACCCAGCACAGCAGGAACAAAGCAAAATGCCAGTGATGAACACTAAGCAAGGAGAAGAAACTACTGTCATTATTTACAAACATCTGATTTTCTGACTAAAAAACCTTACAGAAACAGCTGGCATGAGAACCGATAAGAAACATCAGCAGGGTGGCAGTTAAAAAAAAAATCAACATGTAACAGCTCTTTGATTCATCAACAGTAACCAAATTGAAAATGTAATAAGAACCACAACAAATCTAGAACGTACTCAGGAATAAAGCTTAAAAATAGAGAAAAACCTAACGAAAAATACACGTGATAAAATACATAAATGCAGAGGCAAACAAAACACAGTAGCTCAGATATGGAAGCAACGTAAGTGTCCAGTGATAGGTGAATGGATACAGAAGATGTGCCACACACACACACACACACACACACACACACACACACGAACATTACTCAGCCATTAAAAAAAACCCCAAAATCTTGCCATCTGTGACAACATGGATGGAAATAGAGGGTATTATGCTAAGTGAAATACATCAGACAGAAATACAAATACAATATGACCTCACTTATATGTGGAATCTAAAAAATTAAATGAACAAATAAACAAAACAAAAACAGACTCATAGACACAGAGAGCAAAAAGGTGGTTGCCAGAGGTAGAAGGGTGAGTGAAATAGGTAAAGGGGATTAAGAGGTACAAACCTTCATTTATAAAATAAATTAACCACGGGGATGTGGCATAAGGAATATGGTCAATAATGCTGTAATAACTTTGTACTGGGACGATTACCAGCCTTGGGGCAGTGATCATTTCATAATGTATGTAAATGTCAAATCACTATGTAGTACACCTGAAGCTACCATAATATTGTATATCAACTAAATTTCAAACATTTTTATATTTTTTTAAAAAAGAAAAAAACAAACAAACAGAGGCCTGAGTAATCGAGTAACATTTATGATATGTAGACTCAATGTGGTATAAAGATATTAATTTTCAACAAATTAATTTATAAATTCAATGAATTCTCATCAAAATGCTAAGAAGATATTTCTTTTCTAACACTTATTCACAATAAATAAAACCATACGTTTGGACTACCGCTGCTACAACTAAAAAATTAATGGTAAATTACAATCCTCGTGAACATCAGAGACCCACGGAAGCAAGGAGGACTAAATGAACCAAATTTCAGAGAGGAGAGCTCTTCCCAGGTGAGCTAAGAGCTGGCTGGTTGTTTACTTCGCCAAGGGCATTTGTCCAGCCTGAGAACAGGTGGGACGGGGTCAGCTGAGACAGAGGATGAGACCAGGAGAAAGAGAAACCAGTGGAGCCTTTGATATCCCCCTGGACAGCAGGCTGCCCCCCTGTGGCATTTGCTGAGTGCGGTCAGTGCAGGAACTGGGCGGGAATGGCAGACTGACTCTCCCATAGTCTCAAGGCACTTAGGACACAAAGTACTGCGAGGGAGGAGCCTGCGATCGGCACACCCCGCTGAAAATACAGGTGAACCGAGTCCAACTAAAGCAGCACCCCAGCCCCAAACCAGCTCAATGTCTGTTTAGATGAGGTGATCAGTCACTCCCCAACTGCACAACAGAGGAGAGGGGAAAGAGGCTCTGGTAGAAAGTAACATTGAACTTCAGTCTCTGTGGCTGTTCCCTTTATACCAATTCATGTACAAACACACACACACACACAAGTAAAGAGAGACAGAGATAATCTGGGGAATCTGGGTGAAGGGTGTTTTTTTTTTTAATACAATACAGATTATTTTATACTATTCTTGTAACTTCTCTAGTTTTGAAATTATTTCAAAATAAAACATAAAATGTAATAAACTCTAGGGCTTTCCAGATGATCCTTTGCCTACTGAAAGGGCCCTACACAATCTGGCCTTGCTCTCGCACGCTCCCTCCCCATTCCTGCCACACGCCTTCTTTCCACTAGACAGGGTACCTGCTGGTTCTCACCTTAAGGCCACTGACTTAGCTGCTTCCTGTTCTGTGCCCCCATCCTCCCATGATCATCCAGCTGTCATTCAGATTCTGCTTAAATGCTGCCTCAAGACAAGGTTGCCAGTCTGAAGTAGCCGCCCAGGCTCTCAGTGCATGAGCATTCACAACTTTGTTCATGATGTTCCCCTGGTATGTCTTACCATCTCCCATACCCTCCACGGGGTCATGGGCCCTGTCAGTCTTCTTCACCCCTGCATGCCCTAGAAAATTACCTGGCATAATAGTCAATAAAGACTTGCTAAACACGTACACTCAAAAACAAGGAAATACTGTCTACATTTGTTCAAGTCTTTTAGGTCCTAAGAGGCAATAAGAGCGCAGGCTCTGAAGACACTCTGCATGGGTCCGAACCTCAGCTCTGCCATACCTCGTGTCCTTGTTTCCCTTACTAGTTTGGGACCTGGCAGGCTCCCCAGTTTTCTCAGCTGTAAAATGGGGACATACTTACCTCACAGGGCCGCGAGGTGTTAATGACGTCACACACACAAAGTGGCTAGGCCAAGAGTGGTGCCTATTAATATTATTCAACAGTCGTGAAGTCTTCTTTGTTCAGGTCCTGTACCCTTATGGTCACTTATCTTATATTTTCCAATTGCTATTGCAAATACATTTTCTCTCATTGTACTCTCTGTATAGTTATTGTTTAAAAGCAAAAAGTTCATTGATTTTGAGGTTAACTGTACCCCGCCGGCCGCCTCGGTGAAATCCCTTCTCCTCTGACACCCAAACTCTTCCTGTCACACTTGATCACCTAAAAAAGTGTCTGTACTATTACTAATCGCTTCTCTACATCCTGCTGCCCACAGCTGCATGCAATCCCTTCGCCTCTCAGGAACTGACCACCTGCACCACCCCCGACATTCTCTCTGCTCTGGAAAAGCTGCTTAAGACCCACACATTCTGAAGTCCAGGTGGCACCTTTCAGCCTCATGAAATACTTCTGAGGCATTTCGTATCATGGCTTCTAGGAAGCTCTCTTTTCTCAAATTTGCAGCGGAAGAAACCACTCTCCAAATTTTCTGTCACCTCCCTTGCACCCCAGCCCTTCGGCACCGCCGTCCTGGTTGCCCTGAGTCCTCTGCTGGTCCCTCCTGGGGCTCTACTCGTCGTACCCTGCGCTCCCCCGAACACAGGCGCCTTTAATCTGCACATGTTAGTTGAAAACCCCTACCCAAGCCTACAGATCCGACGACAGGCACTGCGCTTCGAACACCTACAAGCCCGCTCGGCCCCTGGATACCTCTTCCAGCAGTGTTCTCAAGGCCGGGAACACGAGCAGCGCGCCAACGGCTCCGAGAAGTTCACCTTCGCCGGGAAGCCCGCTCTGGCTCACCGCGCAACCACCCGCCCGGGCCGGCCGGTCCACTGGCCCTCTCCCCTCGCGACGCGGCTCCTTCCAGCTCTGAGCCCTCGAACCCGCCCGCCACTCTGCCCAGCGACCACCCTCCGCAAGAGACCGCAGCTCCTCGAAAGCAAGAAACGTACGTAATTCCTTCGCACTGCCAGCGCCAGTCTCAGCGTCCAGCACACAAAGACACTCGGTGTTTGAGCATCTCAACAAGTGAATGAACAACGAGGAGGTTAATTTCCCTGATGGGGCCCGAAAGGGCTGGACACGAAGACAACTCCGTACTTGTGTGTGAGAAACCTGAAACGACAGAGGATCACTTCCTTCACGAGGACCCTCGCTGCCCTCAGAATTCAGGGGCCGCTGTAGACCATAAAACAGGGTACCTGCCGAAGGACAGGGCACCGGACACAAAATGCCCGAAGACGAGGAACGTTCCTGGAGACCCAGGCGGACGGCGGCGAACACGCGTGTTCAGGCCCTGGCGTGGCTGTCACGGGATGAACACGGCCAAGCTCACGGCCCAGTCGGCTTGCGCAAGGGAGAAAGTCCCGACTCACCCAACACGAAGCTGTCCGGGACCTGCTGGCCATCCCGCGCTGTTTCGTGCAGGGTCTCCCGGCTGCTCCCACCCCGCCCACCCAGCAGGGGCTTCGCGCCCCACGGAGGGAGGGTCCGCGGGCACCAGGCACCTGCCCGTCGGGGCTGAGTCCCTCGCAGGGACGCGGCCTCCGGGCCCGGGCGGAGGGAACCGGGGCGATGAGTTTGTACCGTTCCGCAGCCGTGAGGCGGGAGGGACCGAGGCCGGGCTGGCCGCCTCCACGCCCGGATCGACCGTGGGGGTTCAGGCGGCCACGAGCGTGGTGCGCACAGGACGTTCCGGGCCAGGGTACCTTCGCGTCTCCGCCAGCTCCGCGGCCAAGGAAACAGAACGTCCCCGGCCCGCCTCTGTGCACAGTCGCCCCGCAAGCTGCAGCCCGCTAGGCGCGTACTCCGCTGAGGCGAGGGTGCGGCGCACGCGGAAGTACGTCACGCTACCAGGAGCGGCCGGCAGAAAACGACATCTCCCAGAACACTCTGCGGAGGAGGCGGAGGGCCTGGGGAGAGCGGCGGAGGCCGTCGGGAAAGGCGGGCTGGCTGGCTTTGCAAGCGCCCGGTGTTCCCCACTGCCAGCCACTGCCCGGGCAGAGTCCCTCTCCGTGCAGGGGCTGGCGCTCGGGTCTGGACGCCGCACCGGGTAGAGTTCCGACCGGAGGGCACAGCGGAAAAGAGCATCGTGTGAGGCTGAAAGCTGCAGTGCACAGGGATATAAAACAGTTGTGAATATCAGTGCCCCAAATAATAGTTACCAACTTCATAACGGTAGATGAAAAGAGAAATAGAGGTACATCACTAATGGGAGACATGAACATGCCAACTCTCCGTCCGAGACAGAGCAAACAATAGCCGACTTAAAAAAAACGCACAACCTAAACGTTGAGATTTATGTTTTATTTTATGGCCCAAACTGAGGACTTAAGCTTGGGACACAGCATCTTAGCTCTGAGGGGCTGCTCCAAAGAGGCAAATGGGGAAGCCAGGATATTACAGGAGTTTTTGCAAGAAAGAGCAGGTAGTCGGAACATCAAAAGATTACTGTTGATTAAAGAAAACCACACATCTCAAGTTAAGGAATTTAGGGCTTTTTCTTGTTGTTGTTGTTACTTTTACCATAAGGAAGAGATTTATTTATTTATTTCCTTTGGTAAATTTTACCATAAGGAAGAGATTTATTATTTTTATTTTCTAATTTTTGTTTTATTGTTGAAATTTACTTTATTTTTTTATATAGCAGGTTCTTATTAGTCATCCATTTTATACATATTAGTGTATACATGTCAATCACAATCTCCTAATTCATCACACCACCACCACCACCACCACTTTCCCTTCTTGGTGTCCATACGTTTGTTCGCAACATCTGTGTCTCTATTTCTCCCTTGTAAACTGGTTAATCTGTACCATTTTTCTAGGTTCCACATATATGCGTTAATATACGATATTTGCTTATCGCTTTCTGACTTACTTCACTCTGTATGACAGTCTCTAGATCCATCCACGTCTCTATAAGTGACCCAATTTCGTTCCTTTTTATGGCTGAGTAATATTTCATTGTATATATGTACCACATCTTTATCCATTCATCTGTCGACGGGCATTTAGGTTGCTTCCATGACCTGGCTGTCGTAAATAGTGCTGTAATGAACATTGGGGTGCAAGTGTCTTTTTGAATTATCGTTTTCTCTGGGTGTATGTCCAGTAGTGGCATTGCTGGGTCATATGGTAATTAGATTTTCAGTTTTTTAAGGAACCTCCATACTGTTCTCCACAGTGGCCGTATCAATTTACATTCCCACCTACAGTGCAAGAGGGTTCCCTTTTCTCCACACCCTCTCCAGCATTTGTTGTTTGTAGATTTTCTGATGACGCCCATTCTAATTGGTGTGAGGTGATACCTCATTGTACTTTTGATTTTCATTTCTCTAATAATTAGTGATGTTGAGCAGCTTTTCATGTGCCTCTTGGCCATCTGTATGTCTTCTTTGGAGAAATGTCTATTTAGGTCTTCTGCCTATTTTTGGATTGGGTTGTTTGTTTTGTTAATATTGAGCTGCATGAGCTGTTTATGTATTTTGGAGATTAATCCTTTGTCCGTCGATTCATTTGCAGATATTTTCTCCCATTCTGAGGGTTATCTTTTCGTCTTATTTATAGTTTCCTTTGCTGTGCAAAAGCTTTTAAGTTTCATTAGGTCCCATTTGTTTATTTTTGTTTTTATTTCCATTACTCTAGAGGGTGGATCAAGAAAGATCTTGCTGTGATTTATGTCAAAGAGTGTTTTTCCTATGTTATCCTCTAAGAGTTTTAGAGTGTCCTGTCTTACATTTAGGTCTCTAATCCATTTTGAGTTTATTTTTCTGTATGGTGTTAGGGAGCTTTGGTTTCTTTCATCAGTGACATATAGTTTTCTGAGTACAAGTCTTTTACCTCCTTAGGTAGGTGTATTCCTAGGTATTTTATTCTTTTTGTTGCAGTGGTGAATGGGATTGTTTCCTTAATTTCTCTTTCTGATCTTTCGTTGTTAGTGTATAAGAATGCAAGAGATTTCTGTGCATTAATTTTGTATCCTGCAACTTTACCAAATTCATTGATTAGCTCTAGTAGTTTTCTGGTGGCACCTTTAGGATTCTCTATGTATAGTATCATGTCATCTGTAACAGTGACAGTTTTACTTCTTCTTTTCCAATTTTTATTCCTTTTATTTCTTTTTCTTCTCTGATTGCCATGGATAGGGCTTCCAAAACTATATTGAATAATAGTGGTGAGAGTGGACATCCTTGTCTTCTTCCTGATCTTAGAGGAAATGCTTTCAGTTTTTCACCAATGAGAATGATGTTTGCTGTTGGTTTGTTGTATATGGCCTTTATTATGTTGAGGTAGGTTCCTTCTATGCCCACTTTCTGGAGAGTTTTTATCATAAATAGGTGTTAAATTTTGTCAAAAGCTTTTTCTGCATCTATTGAGATGATCATATGGTTTTTATTCTTCAATTTGTTAATATGGTGTATCACATTGATTGATTTGTGAATATTGAAGAATCCTTGCTTGCCTGGGATAAATCCCACTTCATCATGGTGTATGATCCTTTTAATGTGTTGTTGGATTCTGTTTGCTAGTATTTTGTTGAAGATTTTTGCATCTATATTCATCAATGATATTGGTCTGTAATTTTCTCTTTTTGTAGTATCTTTGTCTGGTTTTGGTATCAGGGTGATGGTGGCCTCGTAGAATGAGGTTGGGAGTGTTCCTTCCTCTGCAATTTTTTGGAAGTGTTTGATAAGGATGGGTGTTGGTTCCTCTCTAAATGTTTGATAGAATTCACCTGTGAAGCCATCTGGTCCTGGACTTTTGTTTGTTGGCAGATTTTTAATCACTGTTTCAATTTCATTATTTGTGATTGTTCATATTTTCTATTTCTTCCTGGTTCAGTCTTGGAGGGTTATACCTTTCTAAGAATTTGTCCGTTTCTTGCAGGTTGTCCATTTTATTGGCATAGAGTCACTTGTAGTAGTCTCTTAGGATGCTTTCTATTTCTGTGGTGTCTGTTGTAACTTCTCCTTTTTCATTTCTAATTTTATTGATTTGAGTCCTCTCCCTCTTTTTCTTGATGAGTCTGGCTAATGGTTTATCAATTTTTTTTATCTTCTCAAAGAACCAGCTTTTGGTTTTATTGATCTTTGCAATTGTTTTCTTTGTTTCTATTTCGTTTATTTCTGCTCTGATCTTTATGACTTCTTTCCTTCTACTAACTTTGGGTTTTGTTTGTTCTTCTTCCTCTAGTTCCTTTAGGTGTAAGATTAGATTGTTTATTTGAGATGTTTGTTGTTTCTTGAGGTAGGATTGTAATGCTATAAACTTCCCTCTTAGAACTTCTTTTGCTGTATCCCGTAGGTTTTAGATTGTCATGTTTTTATTGTCATTTGTCTCTAGGTATTTTTTAATTTCCTCTTTGATTTCTTCAGTGATCTCTTGGTTATTTAGTAACGTATTGTTTAGCCTCCATGTGTTTGTGTTTTTTATGTTTTTTGCTCTGTAATTGATTTCTAATCTCATAGCGTTGTGGTCAGAAAAGATGCTTGATATGATTTCAATTTTCTTAAATTTACTGAGGCTTGATTTGCGACCCAAGATGTGATCTGTCCTGGAGAATGTTCCATGTGCATTTGAGAAGAAAGAGTACTCCGCTGTTTTCAGATGGAATGTCCTATAAATATCAATTAAATGTATCTGGTCTATTGTGTCATTTAAAGCTTGTGTTTCCATATTAATTTTGTGTCTGGATTATCTGTGCATTGGTGTAAGTGAGGTGTTAAAGTCCCCCACTCTTATTGAGATACTGTTGCTTACCTCTTTTATAGCTGTTAGCATTTGCCTTATGTATTGAGGTGCTCCTATGTTGTATGCATATATATTTATAATTGTTATATCTTCTTCTTGGATTGATCCCTTGATCATTATGTAGTGTCCGTCCTTGTCTCTTATAACATTATTTTAAAGTCCGTTTTATCTGATAGGAGTATTGCGACTCCAGCTTTCTTTTGATTTCCATTTGCATGGAATATCTTTTTCCATCCCCTTACTTTCAGTCTGTATGTGTCCCTAGGTCTGAAGTGGGTCTCTTGTAGACAGCATATATATGGGTCTTGTTTTTGTATCCATTCAGCAAACCTGTGTCTCTTGGTTGGAGCATTTAATCCATTCACATTTAAGGTAATTATTGATATGTATGTTCCTATTACCATTTTCTTAATTGTTTTGGGTTTGTTTTTGTAAGTCCTTTTCTTCTCTTGTGTTTCCCACTTAGAGAAGTTCCTTTAGCATTTGTTGTAGAGCTGGTTTGGTGGTGCTGAATTCTCTTACCTTTTGCTCGTCTTTAAAGCTTTTGATTTCTCCGTCGAACCTGAATGAGATCCTTGCCGGGTAGAGTCATCTTGGTTGTGGGTTCTTCCCTTTCATCAATTTAAATATATCATGCCACTCCCTTCTGGCTTGTAGA